AAGCAGAGGCTGTGTCTCTGTGTCAAAAGTACAGGCATGGCTGAGATCCTTCAAGCAAGAGTGGGTCGTTCCATTCTCACTGATATGCTTTCAACTAGCAAGGTTTCTGATCATCTATGACGTTAGAGAACAAGGTCAGGGTTCTCAGCACTGTGCCCCTGATGTTAATAAACAAAAGCAGTTTCTACAGTTTCCCATAAGTAAACCCAGAGGCTCCAGGGAAGGGCTGATTTAAGGGGTTTGTTGCTAAGATAAAGCCCCCCCCACAAAGATACCCATGTCCTAAGTCTCAGAACCTCTGAATGTGTTACCTTACATGATAAAAGGTATTTTGCAGATATTATTAAATTAAGGATTTTGAGAAGAGATTATCCTGGGTTATCTTGTGGGCCCCTCTGGTGTCATCCCAGAGGAGGACAGAAGGAGGCAACAGACTCGGTGTCAGGGTGATGCAGCATGAGAAGGATTTGATGAGCCTTTGCTGGCTTTGAAGATGGAAGGGGGTCATGCAGGGTGACTTCTAGAAGCTGGAAAAGGCAAGTCAATGATTCTCCCCTAGAGCATCCAGAGAGGAAGGCAGCTCTGCTGCCACAGCTTGGTTTTAACCCATTGAGACCCATTTCAGACTTCTGACTTCCAGAAGTATAAGATAAATTTGTTTTACTTAAGCCACTGAGTTTGTGATAATTTGTTACAACAGCAATACAAAACTAATACCAGGGCAAAAGCAAAATTCAGTTTCTTTCAATCCCAACCTTCTCCAAATTCTGCAAGACCAACTTGGAGCAAGCCACATCCCCCTGGCTTGGCTTCAGTCCTGCCCAGGCTACAGCCAAGCACCCCATCGCTTCGTGGGTCTGTGCAGTCAAGCAGTCGGCTGTTCCTCCTTTGAAGCAAAGGCAAGTGGGGAGTGGCTTCTTTACTCTCGTGCTACTGTTACCCCTGCCTCTTCTTGCATTGGTGTGGGAGGCTGATGTGAGGGCTCCACAAGAACTCAGTAATGCATTTGTTTATGCTTATTGAGCAGGTATCTACAGCCATAAACAAAATGAGACATGAACCTGGACTCTGTGACCTATATAGTCTCCTGGGGAAAACTGGGAGAAGGCTCCTGTGATCGCCAGGTGGGACACGAAGGTAGCTATAGTGGCAGAGATGGAGGTTAAGTGGAAGAGTTTGGAGAGACATGGCTGTGGTGACAGGCAAAGCGAGTACAGGGAAGAATGTTCTTTCCATGGGTACATTT